TTTTTTTTTTTTTTTTGCTTTTTTCTGACCACTACTCGTGCTAGGGCCTTCATCAGGGTTGGGTTTTTCTGCAGGACCCAGGTCAGATCGACTTGGCTGTTAATTAATTTCTTCTTTGTCTTCTTCTGTTTTCCTGGCAGTTGGTACCCATTTAATTAGAGCAGGTAGTTGTACTGCCCTCTAGTGTAAGAGGATGTAATTGTTCTGCCTGTTGTTAAAAATCTATTTGTCATAGATTTTTAACAAAACAAAAATAAATTTTTGATTAAGAAAATAATATAAAGCCATTAAAAAATATTTTAGACTTTCTTTCTAAAATGGGGTCATAAATGAACCCACTCGGTCCCTAAAATACCCAAATCATGTGATTTGGGTTTCTCTTTTTGTGTCTTTGCTCAGATTTCTTTGAAAATGACCAAATGTTCCTAATCCTGGAGTTTGAGTTTGGCGGCATCGACTTGGAGAACAGCAACGGAACGGTAGGGATCAAAGCTTTCCCCGTGTCTTTGTGGAAATGTTGAGCTTTTATCTGCCACCTCAGTGACTGTTCAGAGATACAGAAGGTAAAGCTGGTAGCTTGGAGATAAAACTACTTTTACATTGGCTGAATGTAGAAAGTACACAAGCTGAAAGTGTGTGTGGTCAGTTAAAGCGCTTTGTATTCAAATTGTCATTACTGAAGATTAAGCTAAAAAGAAGCCTTTGCTTATTTCACGTTCACACTCTCAGTAAAAATGTTTTTAAATTTTAATGACGAGAGCGGCTGCATAAAAATAGCAAGTTCTTGAGTCGAGTCATTACAGCTTAATGTCAGCCAGACCATAAATTACTGCACGCTGGAGGTAATGAGAGAAGATGATGAACATCTTAAAGAAATTATTTGCTTCTGAAAATTCTTGCGGACTAGTGTTATCTTTGGCACGGCTGGACTTTTTCTGGCTTCTAGAAACTTAAATTGCTGTTACACAACATTCACATCTCATCTCCCTGCAAGGTTTTATGAATATTTTCTGACTTGAGGTCTTACACACGCTGAGCACCTTCTTCCTGACTCTGACGTCTGAATGTGTCGACATGAAGACGACACATTCAGACGACACATTCAGGAAGAAGGTGCTCAGTGTGTGTGGCACAGGTGCTCGGACCTCATGACCTGTTTTGTTTTTTGCACTTTTCTCACTGCATTGATTATCGGGTGAATTTGCAGGGATGTTTACTCGTGGGGAAATTGGATGCCTTGAATGTTGCACTTAAATAGTCTAAAAGACTTTGTCTAATTTATACTCTTGTTGTGTTTTCAAGTTGGCATCTTTAGCGGTGGCGAAGAGCATCCTTCACCAGGTTACTGCTGCCTTGGCTGTTGCTGAGCAGGAGCTTCACTTTGAACACAGGTACTGACACACATTGATAAATTACAGCACCGACTGACAGTTTCCCAAGAAGACGCGTACTGATGCAGTTTGTTCCCCGCTAACAAAACAAAACCCTCTAGTGTTTAGAAGGAAACTAACAAATGTTCAGCTGGAACTCTACTCTAACAGTTTAACCCTACACACTGTTTATTGCAGGGACCTGCACTGGGGAAATGTGCTGGTCAAAACAACCAAGCAGAAGACGGGGAGCTTCCTCATCAATGGAACCACCCACTCTCTGGAAACCAGAGGGGTGCTGGTCCGCATCATTGACTATTCTCTCTCCAGACTAGAAATCGGTCAGATATTTTTCTACTTGCTTACTGTCATACTTTGAATAGATTGTGTTATACACATAGTGAATATTACGTAGTGGTTCTAAAATGTTGCTTTTGTGTTGTAGATGATTTGACTGTGTCCTGTGACATCTCAAATGATGAAGAGCTCTTCATGGGACAGGGAGACTACCAGTTTGAGATCTACAGACTCATGAGACAGGAAAACGGGTCAGTCCATTAAGTGATCAAGCATCTATGTGCCATGTAACAGGAGTCTCTGTGTAGTAAAGGCTTAAAGTCTTTATCTCACTCTATGTCTCTGTATCTTTCTATAGCTGTATCTCTATACATCTATCACTGTGCACCTACTAAACAAAACAAACTAGAATAAAAATATACAGTAAATATTTTTAGTTTTTGTCCAGGTCAGTTTCATCATACTTTTCAATTAAACCAGAAAGAACGAGTGATTTGTTCATTTGTCTGAGACTGAGATGATGACATGGAGTCAGTTCTACCACCAACATTATAAATAAACTTAACTGAAATGAGGAAACAAACCTGGAAACAAAATGAAACCAGTGATACTGTTAAACTTGAACTGGTTACGTTCTAGTAAATTATAATTTTTCTTTGCTATTATGTAGGATTTCTTTTTCTTTGATACGCTCATAAAAACATGTTTGTAATTATGTCAAATTTAAAAAGAAAAAAAAAAGAAGGAAAAAAAGCAGTGAGGCAAGGTTGCATAATTCCCTGTGAATCAGGAGGTCAGGACATTCCCTGCCGTTGGTCTTTTCTCCAGAGCACAAATGTCAACCTGATTTTACGTCGTGGGCCACAGACAGCCCACTTTAATCCTAAGTGGGTCAGACTGCCCTGTCTGTCACTGTACAGAAGTTTAACTGCACATTTAATCTCAGAGTGATCTCAATATAAGGGAAATGATGAGAATATTCTGTTTTTGAGTTTCTTTAGACTCAAATTGTGAGAAATGCTTAAAATTACAACAAAAAACCAAACAATTCTGGTAGCTCATTGCCCACACAGTCCTGTAATTATAAGACTAAAAGTTTTTGTTAATTCACAGAAAAGCTGTGGAGAAAAAAAAATCCCTCACATTTTATAAAGCAGTGCAGCGGGCCAGACTATTAGGTCGGACTGGCCCCTGTGCCCTATGTTTGACAGCACTGCTTTAGAGTGTGGGTTCACACTGATGATGTAGCCGTCTCAGAAATTCACGTGTCAAATATGACACTCTTGGCATTGTTAAAGTTCATGACAGCACAGTGAGAAATGCAGCATTGTTGTTGATTTATTGATCCTCTCATGCTGTTTGTGTCTTTTATCAGGAATAACTGGGCTGCTTACCACCCTCATACCAACATACTGTGGCTCCACTACCTTTGCTCCAAGCTGCTTTCTATGAAGTACCGCGGCTCAGGGGGGAGGACTGCCAAGGACATGCGAGAGGAGCTGACTGGTTTCTATGACAATGTCCTCCAGTACAGTTCAGCCACAGAGGCGTTGCAGAGCTGCCCCATGTTCCAGTAGCACGAGGATTCAACGCAAAGTGTGAGGAAACTCACACAGACCATTTTTAGCACGAAGGGGGTGCACTGTTTCTTCCCGTTCGTCCTCTGTTAAGACAGTGTTCCCAGTGGACGCGCCGGCACAGGAGAGTTACTTAGAGTGTAATGCAGACAATGCTGTCATAAAACAAGGCTCATTAAAATGACTGAAGATTATATATTGGTGGTCAGTGGCGCTTCTTTATGTTGTTATTCTAATAAATCCATTCACTTGTTTTTTTTTGCATCCTAAGTATAAAATTTGAAAAAGATTATCATGATAAATTTTTCTTTCTTAATCTTGTAGCAATGTGGTTCAGTGTTTGCAGTCTGCATTGCTTCTTAATCTGTTACTTGGTGTAAATTAATCACTACCTTCTACATGGCTAGGTTTCAGCTTTTCTTTCATTTTTTTTTCTCTGGTTAATGATGAAACGGTTCACAAACATGTGATGTGATTTCATTTGAAAAGCAGAAGGGCCACAAGGGGAAATAGAAGATTAGATCTCAAAACTATGCTATGTAAATGTAGTGTAAACGGGACATTTAACAGGTAAATCTGGCAGAGGATTCACTTCTGTGTGAAGCATTATAATCAATAAATGCTCATTTTAAGAGTTCTGAATGTTTTTATATAAAATAAAAGTCTGTAAGAAGATGTAAGAAAAAAAATGAAGCATGTTAAGTTGTTATTACTGTGTACCAGGGTATTTAGATTTATAATTGTTTTAGTATGGTCGTATATAATAGTAATCAGAACTGTCACCTCACAGCAAGACGGTTCTGGGTCTGTCAGCGTTTGTACGTACTCCCTGTGTTAGTTTTCTCCAGGTGTTCCTTCCATAGTCCAAAAACATCCATCTTAGCTTAACTGATTATCCTAAATTAGCCGTGAGTGTGAATGTTAGTCAATGGTCATCTGTCTCTGTGAATGTCCTGTGATATTCTGGGGACCTGCCCAGGTCCCGCGTCCTCCTGTGTACCCCCTCCTCTCCCTCTAAAAGAGCTGGGATAGGCTCTGCACTCCCGTGACTCTGAATTTGATAAGCAGTTAGACAAAGGAATGGGCTGAAGAAGGGCTCCCTTTATTAAACTGATAGGGAATGTATTGTACTGCATTAAAATGCCAGCAGAAGGAAATCTAGTGGATTATTCGGAGCCCAGTAAGCTGTGAAACATGTCTCCAAGTAGTAAACAAAGTATAACTAAACTGCCTTGAAGTAGTTTGGGTTTATTCCTGTGGATAACCATCAAGAAGAAAGCTTGGTACACTATTTCCCTCCAGAAAGGTGAGATGTCTCCAAAACAAAAATGTATATTATCTTTGAGTTAATAACTTTTAAGTCCTGAGATGACAAAAATAAGTCAGTGGTCAGATTAACAGCAGTCTAAAAATCATTTTAACTAATACCTGAAAGGTGATTATGGTCGTCTTTGGAACAGCGAGTTAAAATCGTTTGATATGTCGACTATTTAATTTGATAAATTGGTCAGTAACAGATTTTTCTGGGTAATTTATCAACAGAACTTACAACTAATTATAAATCATCCTGGTAAAGAATTTCAGCTACTTCAACATTATAAATCCACCTACTGTGCAGTACTTGCAGCGGGTGGAGTACACTGCACGTTGTCATACAAACGACACATGATGTGAATCTTTTTAGTGATACCCTGAACCACGGAGAAGCATCTGAGCTTAAGCGCAAAGAATGTGATACACAGAAAAAAGACGCACATACAAAAACAAAATAGTTTATTCAATTTCATCATTAAGATTATTATACATTTTTGCATTGAAACAAGCTTCATTTTGGTATGGTGAGTCGTGTGTGTCCATTTTGATGTGGATCTTGATTGAATATGTTCAATGCTTCCATACGCAAAGAGACACTTGGTTGCTGTTTTTTTTTTTTTTTTCTTAATGAACACCTGCCTGGAATCGTTACACGATGGGATTAGGGCAACAGTTGCATTAAAAAAGGAAGACGTCCTTTAAAAAAAACAACATATGGCGACATTCCAAACTATACAAACAAGATCCGGCAGGCCAATGTCTGAGAAGAGGTCAGGCATGTGTTTGAGAAGCACTTTTTGGTTGAGCTTTGAGGCAATGTTTGAAATGGCCTTGCTGGTGATGAGCCCATATGTCTGTTGATGTGTTTGTCTGTTTTCAAGGTTCTCTGTTTGTGTGTGTGTGTGTGTGTGTGTGTGTGCTTGAGTCTGGGAAGCAAACAGATGTGTATAAGAAGCAATGAAGTGGATATGAAATGTACCTGCAGCTGTTGTATGTGTATGTGTGTGTCTGTATGCTTGTATGCATTTGTGCTCAGAAGGAGAAGTATTTGGTGAACCACTCCTGCTTCAGCCCTTCTGTCCCCCTCTGCTCCAGGTATGGCCCCCTGCACCACACAAGACGCAGACAGGTTTAGTGTTTTAATCACAACTAATTCAGAAACATGACAGGAAGAAAAACATTCGTAACATTTTATAACACGTCCCACGACTAAGGGCATAATTCCCCTGTAATTAAAACAAATCTCAAAGGATTTTATTTGAAATTAAAATGTTATTATATCCGCATACTACTACTTTAAGGTAGGTACACTAGAATAAAGTTGGTAAGAAGTCAGAGGTTTTTACAGGGATTTAAACTACAGCGTAAGCAAAAAGGTAAATAATAGAATATCCATCATGTACATCTACTTAATGAATATTGAATAAAAAAAGTAAAAAGACAAAATTAAGGCAATTTGTGCCCTGAAAAGTACAGTGTGCGATGTAAGATGGGAACACATTGTTTTTATTCCAAATTAGTTACCTCATACTTAAAATTACTTATGGAGTCCTAAATTTACATAGTAATAATGCTAATAATAATAAGTAATTACAGTATAATTACTTCCTTGTTCCTGTAAAAACTCGACTTACCCCCTTATGGTAGTGTGTCTACGTTTAAGTATTTGTATGCAAATATAATTACATTACAATTTTGAATTAAATGACATTTATTACAGGTTAATTACACCTTTAGTTGTTATGCTAAGGTGTTCAATTGCAGTCAGAAAAGAGAGAAAGGAAAGCAGCAGGACCATGACTGTTTCAGCTTATAAAGACTGACATTTACTGAATACCTTCTTTAGGACAAGACGTCACCTCACTGGTATTTACACTATATTACAGCTGTTAGACCTTTGGTACATCTGTGGTTCATGAGGAAGAGTGGGCTGTGTACCAATTGGAAGGTCTGTGGCTCAAGCTCCAGCATGTTCAGGTGTTTTTAAAGAATAAAGTGTTGCATGAGTGAAAATGATCAGCCGATAAAATGGCAGCAACTCAATGCCTTTAGGTACGTAGACATGGTCAAGACCACCTCCTGAAGTTCAAATTGAGCATCAGAATGGGGAAGAAAGGTGATTTAAGTTACTTTAAATTTGGTATGGTAGTTGGTGCTTGAAAGGCTGAAGCGTCTGATCTGCTGGGACTCTCCTTTTATTTTACAGAGAATGGTTTGAAAAAGAGACAATATCCAGTGAGCGGCAGCTCTCTGTTAGAAAATGTCTCGTTGATGACAAAGGTCAGAGGAGAAAACTACAGTAACAGGAGGCGTGCTACAGCAGCTAAGAACAAGAAACTGAGGCTACAGTTGGGGAAGGCTCATCAAAACTGGACAATAAAATATTGTACTGAACATGACTTTGAGTTCACTGAACTCAAATGGCCTCCACAGTCACCAACAGAGAACCACTTGGATGTGTTAATAGGGGCGAGTCACGTTATGGATGTGCAGCCGACAAATCTGACAGTTCTGAAGACAAGACGGGATCAAACCTGGCATTAGCAAGGTGAACCTTGGATCGTTTTATTTAATGTCGTCACTAAGAATTATTGTTGTATTTGTATGCATAAATCCTCAGTAGTCATAAACTGATTATTACATGATCACACAGCAATGAGTACACAAGGTCAGGATAACATCCCTCTTCAAAATGTCTGTCTTAATTAGACTTTTTGTGACTGCATTGTTTCATCTGTCTTGATCCACGACCTCCGTAAACCCTGTTCTGATTAATTCATGGACTCATGGACCATGAAAGGTTTGTCTGTAAATTATGATCCACATTAGAGTCACAAACCGCTGAGCTAACAAAAACACAAAGCCGACATCACAGAGTCTATGTGCTATCTTTTATATACAGTCTATGTTTGCAGCAATGGTTTGCACTGTTGCCTCATTTGCATGTTCGCCACGTGTTTGCGTGAGTTCTCTTCGGGTACTGTGACTTCCTCCCACAGTCCTAAGACATGCAGTTAGTGGGGTTAGGTTAATTTGTGATTCTAAATTGCCCATGAGTGTGAATAGTTGTTTGTCTCTCTGTGTGTTAGCCCTGTGAGAGACTGGCCATCTGTCCTGGGTGTACCCTGCCTCTCGCCCTATGGTAACTGGGATAGGCTCCAGCCCCCATGTGACACTGATTAAGGTTGGCAGTAAATGTCAAAGTAAGATCCACATGAATAGGAAGGTTGTAAAACATGATTCTGTAGCGGGATGATCGGCGTTATTTATTAATCATGATGTAGTTAATTACTTATTCAGTACTTAAAGTTGCATTTGTAGTAGTACTTGCAAGAATGAGACCAAATTTTGCCACCATGACAGACACAAAGAGTCACAAATGTGGAAACATCACCAGCCACGCTGTCATGGAAAGTGATGACTGCTGGTAGGGCAGGTTTCCATCAAGAGATCTGCAGCGGACAGCTACAGCTGGCTCATCTTGAACTAAGCGCTGAGATTAACACAGACTGACAGCTGATTAATCCCGACATCCAGTTCATGCCAGCGATCTGAGTCCTTGTTGTAACAGTTTGATTAATGTCATCACTAAGAATTACTACTTTTTATCATATTTTCATATCTTTATATAAAGTCCAAAAGGTTGTTAATACAACTTGTTGAACATGTGATATCCCTGGTAAGGATTAAGTCAAAAAGTAAAAAAAATATTAAAAATAAGTTTGATTTTTGGTTTCTTATCTCACCCTGAGGAAGTCAGCTGGCTGAATCAAAACATTCATACCTGATTGAGTGGGCCTGCAGGTGTACGTGTGGGTCCAGGCAGGAGGGGGACACGTATCGGATGCCCGTCTGAGGCGAGGGGCAGACGGGGAGAGGTGCCGTCGGCGCCGGCGTCGGTGGGATGCAGGAGGTCCGGGTTCTGGCGGAGCGAGAGAGGGAGGGCGAGGAATGCTGGGTGAGGGGGAGGGACGTGTGTTTGTGTGGGAGAGAGGAGGTGGAGTAGTGGGGCGAGGTTTGAGGGTGGGAGGAGGACTGGTGGGGGAGGGTTGAGGAGGAGTGCTGATGGACGGAAGGGGAGGAGGAAGACGAGGAGGAGGAGGAGGAGTGGGGCACAAAGATGCTCCTGTTGTAAGTGCCGGCCGTGGAGATGCTGGTGACACGAGGAGGCGACTCGGCACGTTTCCTCTGTGGAAAAAAATAAATAAATAAAAATTGACACATAGGTTAGAGTTTTTAAAAAAAAGGATCAGTTTTTCAGAGCGCTCAGTATAACCAGCAGAAATCTGGACCCACTGGTTGCGATTTATGACTAATGGGGCAAAATCAGTCTCTCTTTTGTTGCTCAAACAAATGATTGGTTAGTTGCACTCAGACTACAAGTGGCCTGTAAGCTAGAAAATCTCCTACTTGCAAATTGTGCATATTTACAAGCACATATCTGTTTAAAGGAGGCTTCGCTCTCACATCCAGGCCCATATATTTTATTCTTGGACAGCTTTGCATGACTGACAGTTCAAAACAGTGCTTATATTTAGCTTTTACTGGGTGTTGGTGCAGAGCCTTGGTTCATCTTCTGTCTGAAACAAGCTGTTGAAGCTCCTCTCTCTTTAAGGTCAGCCAACTTTCTTCTGATTGGCTGCTACTCAAAAGCAAAAGATCCAAACAGCAGGTGGCCAAGGTGTCTGTGCTCACAGCCAGAGCTGCCTCGCAGATCCAAGAGGAGAAAAAAGCAAAACTGAGAATTTAGAGCAGTCTGAAGCTTGAGCTTCTGGCTTGAATTTGGCTGTTTAGACAACCAACCTATATTTAAAAAAATGTACAATGTTGTGTAAATGTCGTGAGTGGCCCTTCATTTCTTTATTTTTTGCAAGAAAAATGGGAAATAGGTGCATTGATTTATAGAAACGCGCAAACAAGAATAGAGATAACAGAGGTTGCAGAAGTCTAATAAGCTTGAAAGTCAATATTTGGTTTGACCACCTTTATTCTTCAACACAGCTGAACTCTATTAGACAAGCGTTCTTGTTATTCCTTTAAGTGGTCCTCAAGAATAGTTTAGGACATTCAAAGCTCTTCTTTGGATGTTGGCTGCCTTTTCCTTCATTCTCTGTCATGATGAAAAATGAAACTGTTGCCAGTCTGATTCTTTCCAGATGGTGGATCAAAATCTCACTGCACTTTTTTGCATTCATAATCAATTTTGACAAGCTCTCCAAAACCACCGGCCAACTATGACAGACCCTCCATCATGTTTTCTAGATGTCTGTAGAGACTCACTGTTGTGCCTCTCTCCTGACCTCATGCATACATACTGACAAAAGTTTGAAGCAAAATGTTTAAATTTGGAGTAATTATTTGATGAGATATGTTGCCACAGATTTTCAGTCCATTTCTTGTTTCATTTGGCATAACTCAGCCTTTTCAACCTATTTCCCTTCCTTAAGAATGGCTTCTTGACAGCCACCCTTCAACTGGGACCACTTGTGATGAGGATTCAGTGAAACATAGACGGATCTACTGAAGGGCCAGGAGCATCTTTCAGGTGCCGTATCAAGTCTTTGCTGTATTTTTTTTCCTATTTCTTAAAGATATAACTTTCAGATAATGTTCGTCTGCTGTAGATGGGTTTACTGAGATATAGGCTTTTGGCTTACTGTGGTATCTTTGGTAGTTTTCATAGACTCAAATAAAGAACTTGAATAAATGTTTTTGCAAAAGTCTCCTAAATTTAAAACGAGTTCTTTGTGTAGTCAGGACACTGGTTCATCCAATGCCATTTGAACAAACAACAAACAAAGAAAAACAAACATCCATCTGAGCATGAAAACTCGGGTACATTGGACTGAAAAATGAAAATGAAAAAAAGCTGCAAATGTTCAAAGAAAGACTAAGAGACCTTCAGAAAACCTGGAGAACTACTACGCAAGACCACTCTTAAAATTAGTTTATGTTAGTGTTATGTTGGTAAGTTTATGTTGCAAAGCAAGTGCCCACTAGTCAATTTAGTGAAATGAGTGAAATTAGTAAAGCCACACGTGTTCAGTTATTATGAAGGCCACCATAGTTCATTTTCAGCCACATATTCTGTCCTGTAAATACTACACATGTATTAAATCATACTCTGAAAATAGTCCCCAGCTAAATGCACATTTTATCTTTAAGTAGTAAGTTTGATTAAATCGGCAGTTAAGGAAAATGTTTTATGTCCTTTATGATTTATATTAAAACGAAACAGCAGAGTCTGAAGTGTTCAGTGTTTAGGCGTTACAGGAGAAGAAGACACATCCCGAAATAAGTGTAGTTTTACTGAAACTTCTCAGTAACAAATGCATGGACATAAATACAAAAGTTGGTGGCCCGCAGCCATCATAGGAGCCTGTCGACAGGCTGCAGGTGATGATGCGTGTCAGCATTTTTAAATGTACCACGCCAGATGGTCGGTAAGCACAAATCCACGACTGACACCAAACAAGTGCAAGTGAAGGCACACAGAATCCTGCACTTTACAGCAGCCTCGATTTATTAGTCACACTCCTGAGAAGCTTTGATTAAAGACGCGAACGCCTCAAAATCGATTTCATCATGTTTGCACGTCAGCTGATAACAGGTCAAACTAAAAAAAAAAGAAAAAAAGAGCTGCATAATATAAGTTCCCACATCTTTCACACATCTGCGTCTTTAGTTGCCAAATGCAATGTTAGTAAAAGCCGAGTGATGATGGAGTTATTGCAGGGAGGGCAGGCACACTGGTGACGTGGTGAGTGGGCGAACTTCTGCGTTTCACTGTTTCGTGCCCCAGAAACCGAAGCCGGCTTCGGCCCAGCGAGCCCTTCTGGTTGGATGGAGGCTCACTCTCACGCGCGTGAGCCGAACACACAAACTCACCATCGTGGTTGGCGTGATGCTCCCGGGGCGGGACTTGCTGTCACGGAGCCCGAGGCTACTGTTGTCCCCGGCAACAGGAGGGTAGAGCTGCAGCTGATGCCTCTCTTCCTGGAGGCAAGGAGGACGAGGAAGGACTTTCACTGGCCTTATTCACAATTGTTTCTGTTGTTGTTCTTGTTGTAGGGTTGGAGTTGTGTCTGGAGGGTGTAAATGTTTGCTAAGCTGCCTCACGTCACACAGATGGTAGATGCAGCACTCAGTCAGAGGACACTGAAAAATGTAGTTTTCTCCTACGCACACATGACCGCTGATGATTAATGAAGGCACTGTTCCACTGGGTTTAGTCTGAGTCATTTAAATATTTATGGTTTGGGAAAAATGCTCATTTATGCAGCCAGATTTTTAACTCCCAGTCTCAACACACTGTGTGATTTTGATTTTTAGCTTGCTACTGTTAGAGTTTGGATCAGAGCAGCTGCTATAATCAGTCTGTCTGTGTTTAAACGATTATTTTTTTGGTATATTTTTTTCTTTAGAGAGTGAGTTTTAGCAACTAAACACTTTGAAGGAAATCAAACCAGGGATGCTGCAGTCAGATGGGACCTTGGACCACCTCAGTCTCCAGAGGAAAACAAAGCAACTGCTAAGAAATCAATACAAGGCAACATTATGCTAAAGATACGTCAAGAGGAATCACTGCAGTGAGTCTGTGCTACACCGCGTGTTTTAATGCTGACCCATACAGTTGTGTATATCAGACAACGGGCAAGATGTAAGTTAATTTAAGTGTTCATGTAACTTTTTTAACACATCTTTTATGTTGGTTATACTTTTACTGTAGCCAGTTAATCAAGTTATCCAACACGTGGACCTTTGCTCATTTTGTTCAAGTCCTCTGCTAAAGAAAAATGGAAGGTCATGGAAGCCATGAAGTTCCTGGTGCTCGGGCCAAACCTCAGCGCAGATTCTGCAAGGGTGTCATCAGGTTTTAGTGCAGTAACTAAAGCACTACTGTAGTGCTTCCAAAATCAATGATTGATCAATGCAATGATTACCTTTTTAACCAAAAAGAAAATTATGAAAGAAAAGTAGTAATGCACATGGGCAGGTTGTAGGGCACAGGCTCATCTAAGCAAATCTTATCTTTAACCTCCAGAAAACTTGCTTATATTTTTTTCCATTGTGGTGTTCCCAAAGATGAAGAAAAGCCCATCAGCGGATCAGTAAGATAAGATAAAAGTACTGTACATCACCACCTATACATTCCACTTACAGGTGGAGCTTGGCCATGGAAGCCCATATCAAGAAGCTCCTGGCGCACAATGTTTGTGCCGATTTTAATGACAGAGCAAGTTTGGAGCGCTGCAGTTATTCAGTCAGCAGAGCATTGGTGGCTTTTACGCCTCGGTGGCAATGGGGCCGAAAACACAGGGGTGGTCCAATATATTTGTCCATGTAGTGTATTAATACTTAGCTATATTAGCTGTATTGCTTTGGGGGGAAAAGGTTTACACACATACTTCTTTTAGCTGCATCTGTCTCTCATCTAAAGAGACAATACAAACATTTAAAGATTCATTTTGTTAGCAAATCCATTAAAAAGCCTCAACTAGCCAACTTTGACAGGCCAGCTGTGGCAGTCAGCACTATTTTTAAAAAAAGGCCACAATTATAAAGTCTTATTGTTTAAAAGACTGACTCATTTCCTAAAACTAATGGGCACTGTAGTTTTCAGCAATCATTATTCAAACAGGAGTAAATAGGGTAATTAATGAGGACTATTTTCAGCCGAGTATTTATACATATTTGCTGTGTGTGTGTGTGTGTGTGTGTGTGTGTGTGTGTGTGTGTGTGTGTGTGTGTGTGTGTGTCTGCAAGTGCAACAATGGAGTTCTATGGCACAGATGATGAATAAATAATAAACATCAGACTCTTTTACTTTTTTCCTTTTGCGAGTCACACTGTGTCTCTGTTAGTTTTACTTCCTGTCTCTGTCTGTGATTTTCTTCTTCACTCTTATTGGTTTTACATGTGCTTAATCAGTCATTTAGTTCTCCGTTTCGCAGTCCTCGCCTTCTCCCGGTTGTATTTCAGTCTGTCTATTTCCAGCCCGTGTTTCTCGGCTGTGATCCTGACAGGTTACCATTTCCTGTTTGTGCTCGGTTTAGTTTCTGCTCTCTTTGTAGTATTTTTGGATTCTTTTGAAAACCAGTAGAGCTTTAGTCTTCTGTCTTGGATTTATTTTTTATTATTTTTTGTAGCATCTTTTTGTTATTTGGTTCCTTTTGCCCCTTTTTTTCTCCTTTATTTAAACTACTGTTGTGATGTTTCGTGAGTTTGTCGACTTCTACTTCTCCTGAAACTTTTCATATTATTTTATTTCTAACACAAATTGGCCCATTGGCATGGCAAGAGCAACGGAAAGTTGTGTGTAGTTTTTTACAAACCAGTAAATAAATTCGATGTATGTTGTTAAGCATTATGGGTGAAATGGTTGTAATTTTCCAACACTAACTATCACATTTAGGTTAGAAGGACAAACCCCAAAATTGCGCAAAAAATGTTTTTTATATTCTCTGAGGTCTCTCATACAGGAAAGAAAATTCTTTTTACTATAAAAGCGGTTAAATTACTAAATATTGTAGTAAATGAAAATAAAAAGGTACAAAATAAAGCAGAGTTTTACTTATGTGATTTCATAATGAAAGCTCTGATTCTAGGTGTGACACTGCACAGCGTGTTCCTCTACATGTCTGAAAAAACTGAATGTCTTTGATCATCCCAAATCGGATATTTTCAGATGTATGCAAACTCATTCCCATTCTTTTGCAACAAACCACCAAAACTGATCACAGATACTTCATTTTTTTGTCTGATGTCACCTGTTTTTTCTGGCACCATTTGGGTTTAGGGTGGCAACCTTAGAATTGTGAAATAATCGGTATATATTGGTTCAGTTTGTGCTCTTGCTGCTGATACAAAGACTTTTTCTGTTGAATTGAAAGCAAAACAAACCACCGACCCAGCTAACCCTGCTGAGAGATGTAACTAACCACTTACAGCTGGAAAAGGGAAAATTGGGACTTGTTCTTTGGGATATCACAACCCTTTATTGACAACTTTAACAAATCCAAGGCATGAAAAATCTGTCTGTATTATGTTCTTTAACATCCTTTTTCTCCTACTGTTGTTGTTGTTTGATCTTCTGTAATATCTATGCTCATATCGTCAATAAAGAAAGTTCAAAAACCAAAAAACCTAAACTAAATCTGACTGTCTCGATGCAATTAGGGAATACAGCCCTAAAGACAGGCACGATGGGCGGAAATTTTAGATTTGAAGTTTTTTGATGAATGGATTCATATACTTTTTAACAGTTCTTGTCAGGGTTAGTTGGAACAGTCAGACTGTGCTGAAATCAACAACATATCTTGTGGGACTGTATCAGGTATACTCACTGTTTTACATTAAAAAGTGTCTGATGTTGTCCAAGTAAAATCTATCTATAAGTATTTTTGCAGTGAAGCATGCCTAACATATCCAGAGTACAGGGATGCACTGCTGCAGAAGCCCTGATGCTAACCATAGAAAACTATACTTATAATATCTGCCACAGATAAATATAAGTAGATAAAAAACAAGTTGAACTATTCAAAAAAAAAGTGCTTCTGTTTAAATAACAGGATCATAAACCACCCCACTCGGTCATTTTTGGATCTTTGAGGGTTAAAAAAGTCATAGGTTTTGCGTTAATGTGATGGTTTTTGTGTGTGCTCTCACCACTAATCGTTTGATGAGCTGGTCTCTCTCCGTCAGCCTCTCCTGGAGTCTCCCCAGCTGCAGGTCGTCACATCGAGGCTCCCTCCGCCTGCAGCGTTCCTCCCGCTCTCGCAGCCTGCAGTTAAATCATATACAGAAACACACACCTTTCTCACATACCTGCACACCTTTTCACCCCCATACATGCACACACACACCCCCGACCCCTCCAGCCCTCCGGGTGTCTTATCTCCTCGGGTCTCTCCTCTACTCACTCATTCTCCAAGGCCACGATTCGCGCCTGCAGGTGACTCTGCGCGTTGCTGTATTCAGACACCAAACTCTGCATCTCCCGCTTGTGCTCCCTCCTGATCTCCTCCACCTCCTCTCGCCTCTTCTCCTCCTCCCGCTCCTTTCTCTTTTCCTCGTCCAGCTCCTCCTCTTTGATGTCGTCCTCTTTTCTCTCGTCCCAGTGCTTCTGCGACTCCTCGAGTTTCTCCATTTCCACTCTCAGCTTCTCCACCTCCTCCTTCAGACGTTGTGCTTCTTCCTCCAGCTGGGCGTCCCTGTTCTTCCTTATTTCTGCGCGTTCCTCTTCTTTCTCTTCGGCCTCTGAATTCTTTTGCACTAAGCTAAGAAGGACACAGCAGAGGAAAAAAGTGGAAACAATGGCGCATGTGGCATCTTTAATACAAAATAAGAGGTGTTTGCTGGTTGCTAAAAATCTACACAAAAAGAAGACGTACACGATACCTCTGCACTATTTTGCCATATACTACAGTACATTTTCAGTAATGTTGTCTACCAGCCAAATAACTGCATAACTATAGTCTAATATAATCCATTTGCATCAGCTAACTAAACTTTGAATGATGTGCTGTAAAGACAGATGTGTCTCCAGTAACAGATGTTGCTTAGATAGTTTTGCCAAGCTTAGCTTCACAACTGATATCTGGAGCTATGAAGTGTGTCCAGACAAATGTATTATTCACAGCTTAGCTGTTGAAGCGAGGGAAAAGACAGCATCAGATTGGTATCAGTGGATACTCATGGTTGTGATGTCAGTGTCAAAGTATTTACCCGAGAGGTGAGGGTGCATACAATGTGCCCTGAACACCAAATTCTCAGGTTTATCCAGACCAAAGGTGTCAATTTTTCTTTTCTGTCTATATCAGAGGGACAGTATGGAGACACAGTAAAAGAGACAAAGCTGAGATGGTTTGTGCAGAGGAGGGATAGAGAATATTTTGGACAAAGGATGCTGAAGACGGAGCTGTCAACAGGAGGAAGAGCTCAGATAAGATTTGTGGATGAGTGAAGGGTCAGTGTCACAGACGAGGATGCTAGGGATACAGTGAGATGGAGACAGATGATCAACCGCGGCAACCCCAAAAGGGATCAGCCGAAAGGAGGAGAAGAATAAGAAGAGGACTGAAGTAAAAGGATATCCACACAGGAAGTTACCAGCGACAATCCGAGACCACAGAAAGTCTGTGACGTTCAGCAACTGCAGGAATAATGAACGAAATAACTGGTGATGCAAACTGGGTGGGTCCTGAGTTAAACCTTTCTCAAAATCTTTGATTAACGTATGACAGAGTAGTAGATACATTAGAGAGTTACGTAGGCAACCAAGCACCAGCTACAAAGCGATGTGTGAAGAGTGAAACGTTTCCTGTGTGGACAACCCTTAAGATATGTACTGGTCAGAGTCTGAAAGAGGGACTTCTCTTTTTTTAATAACTGTAACGTTCTGTTTGTTAAACTACAGGACAAAGTCTGAGTGATGAGCTGCCGGTTCATTTCTCAAATTTATGTCTTAGAAAGTGGTTAAGCCGACGGAGCAGGGCTGACAGATTTCTTTAATAATGTGGAAAAACTCAGAGGTGCTGTTTAAATTGCACTCATTTTTCTTGAGACATCCCAGGCTTTTCATCATCACTTTCATAAAAGGATGGCTCATTAAATGTGAATGTATTTAAAATGCATTTACACTAAAGGAAAGGGGAAAAGATTTGGAGGTCTTCCTTGGGCAACATTTTTTTAATGGACCAGCCCGCTTAAGATTATACCAGCTGTATGCGGCCAACAAACTAAAATGGGTTTGACACCGCTCTTCTAGATCATGTGCTGGATGTCATGGCAGATGGCTGCCCCTCCCTGAGCCTGACTCTGGTTCTGCTGGAGATTTCTTCCTGTTAAAGGGGAGTTTTTCTTTCCCACTGTCGCCAAGTGCTTGCTCACAGGTTGTCGTCTAATTTGGGGTTTTTCTCTGTTTTACTGTAGGGGCCTTCCTGCTTTTCACCCCTCAACTTCATTGTGGTGAATGGTAAAGTGAGGCCTTGCGAAACAAACACTGAAACATTCGAGGCAACGCTGTCTGAACTGTATCGAAGTTTGGAAGCAATCACCTCTTTCCACACCAACAGCTACATCCTAGTTTTTTCTATCATATATTGTGAAAGAATGTCACAGGAAAGCTACATATTACACCAGACTCTCAATAATTATGATAAATAATTATGATCACCATGTGTTTTGGAGAAATCCGCAAACAAGCGAAAAAAAATTAAAAACTGGGATCATTGACGATAGCGAGCTGTGTCGCTAATGAAGTGTTTCAGCAAATATTAATGTAACCCTGTTGTTTTGACACACGTGAGGCTGCTTCAGCTGCTTATTAAATCAGCGTGGTGCATGAAAAAACATGTTATAAGATAAAAGTCTGCTGTGCTTCTTGTGGTAGCCACACAGGAGATACTTGTGGGAGATGTTTCGTCCACAGTGGAATGAAGTGTTAAACAATGTAGCTCACGATGCTTACAGAAGATGAATATTATTGTTACACTATCACATGACTAATGTTATTATTTAACTCTTTTGTTACTATTTATAGTAACAAATATTTTTTACTTTTTCCAAGTCCAAATGCAGCACCAAGACCTTTTGGGTCTCAATTTGCTGTGGTCATGTGACTTGAGTGTTTAGAAACATTTGTAAGACTGGTGGGTTTTTGGGTTTTTTGGGGGATTTTGACTTTATTCTGTCTCCTTCGTCCTCTTCCTCTGCAGCTGTCACAGGTTTGGGTTCGGGTGTGGGACTTCATTTCCAACATCCTGGTCTGTGTTCAGAGCTCCAAGGAAAAGTTTAGCAAACTTCCTCCAAACTTGGATGAGATGACGGGTAAACGCGAAGCTCCAGGGAGGAGCTTTGGCTGGCTTAACATAGAGACTGTGAGAAGCTGGGAACAGCTAGTGCAGTTAAAAATATACAAGCTCACCAGTTTGTTCGCTCTTGGTGTTATCTTCCTCCCCTGTCTCTGTCATCATGTTTGGTTTTAGTCTTCATGTCTTTTAGTTGTTTTCTCTTTTACTTTGAACATTAGTTTGCTCAAGCAATTTGTTGCAGTTTTGCTTCATTTTTCATGTTTTCCTTTCTTTTTTGCCCTCCTTTGTTACTGTCTGCCCGCCCTCATTAGCTCCGTGTCTGGATCGAACCGCAGTCTCATCCTCAGTCAGTGTGTGGGTTTGTGTGTCTTGTCTGTTGTGTTTTGGTATCCGTTCACCTTCAGTTCCTACCTGCTTGTTAACACAGTAATCAGCTTTTTAAAATAAAGTTTGTTTGATTTTTGTTCCATTTGCTCAGTTTTTTATGAACTCGTTTTAAGTCTAGAGGTGATAGATCTTTTAGAGCGGTGGCCCCCAGGTTGTGGAATGCTCTCCCTCCATCATTACGTTGCCTTGATTGTATTTATTCTTTTAAAAAGCAGCTTAAGACTCTTTTATTTAGATTGGCTTTTAATTAGATTTGTGCTGTGTGTTTTATTATTAATGTATTTGATGTATTTCTGTTTTATATTACTGTGAAGCACTTTGTGGTTTTTATCCTGTGAAAAGTGTTATATAAATAAATTGATTTGATGTTGATTTGATTTAATCTGCATTTGGGTCCATGTCTGATTCTGGCACAATTAACACATTCGATTTACTTTAGCTGCCATGTTTTTGCTTGGTTCGCTAAGCTAAGTCATTCATGATTTCTTATTTTACGTTGCTACTTCCAGTGTGCCATTCACTGCAAATTCATTTAGTTGTCACTTTGGTCCCAGTTGCAAAACAATTCCATCAAACTATTTAACCTGACAAGAAATTAGGTGGAAAGTATTTTTGTGAATGCCAAACATTCATAGTTTCTCTGTAAAATCGATGGCTTTCGCCTTGACTGATGGACTCAGTGTTACCGTCCCTACCTTTCCTTTAACTGCTTCTTCAGTGCTGCGTTTTCTCTCTGCAGCTCCAGCATGGCGCAGCGACTCTCGTCCAGCTGCCGCTCAAACACCTGATACTGGTTCTGCTGCTTCAAATCCTTCACACACACACACACACACACACGAATAAAGTAGTAGACAACAGAAGTTGACTTGCTGGAGTTACAGGCAATGAATCACAGGTATTGAGGCCAAGAGGTGTGTGTTTGTGCGCACACGGTGTGGGTGATTTACCTGTTGCAGAGCCATCATTTGTGTGTGCGCCTGTAGTTGAGCCTGTAGGTCTTCTATCTGCTGCATGTGTCTCTGGGTCATCTGTCTGCTCCACTCCGTGTGCTGCTGGGTCAGCTCTGCTCGCTGCTTATCTGCACACACACACACACACACACACACACACACACACACACACACACACACACACACACACAAAACCACATACCGAAAACAAAATCAATGGGTCCCACTGTTACAGGTACCCTTCTGCTGTTGCCATGGTGAAGTGTATCCATGGCAATGGCAACTTCACTGTTGAATTTATAATCTCAATGCAATGTGTATATCATTGTGCATGTGTGTGTGTGTGTGTGCTTGCTTATTTTGCTCATGTAGCTGTGTACATGCTATCCAGAGTGTGTTAATGCCTGCATGTGCTTATGCTAATGCTAATGGGGGTGTGTGTGTGTGTGTGTGTGTGTGTGTGTGTGTGTGTGTGTGTGTGTGTGTGTGTGTGTGTGTGTGTGTGTGTTACCCAGCTCCAGGTGGTGCATTGTCTGAAGTCTGTTCCTCTCAGACAGCAGCTCTTCTTTTGCCCGTCTCTCTAACGCCTGCAGCGCCATGGCATGACTGTGTCTCTCTTCGGCTAGCGACTGCGTTTGGGGCTCCTCCAACAAATGAACACATTTTTTTTTTAGAACCACAGCAGCAATTCTTCTTAAGCTCACAAAAACCCATTGTTGCAGTAAACGCGCACACACACACTCACAGACCAACATAATGTTGCCTATTCACTGCGGCACTTTCATCAAAGCTGCTAAATTATTCATCACAGAGAAAATCTATGAACGGGCGCGCGTAGGATTTTTAAAAATGACTGTGCATCATGTGCGTACCTGCAGCAGCTCCCTCAGTTTCTTGTTTATCTCCTTTGTGTCTTGGACCTCCTTCCTCAGCTTGTCAATTTCAGGATTCACGTGGCAATCATCTCCCTGGCCTGCCTTCTTTTTCTCTGCCTGCATTGGTGACAAATTGGGAGCAAAGGATTTTTAAGGCTCTCCATGCTGTCAAAGTAATCCTGAGATAATGGGTCTGCAGCAAGAATTAAATGGAGATGCCACTTTTGTTTTAGGATGTGCATACTCAAACAGAATAAATAAGCAGGCTTATGGAACAAATTAGAAGAGCCCTCCAACAATTTAGCATCGCATGCCCAAAAAGTTGAACGGATTACACGAAACATCCCGACTTTAACTTTCTAGAGCACATCCAGAGCTGTTGTTTCCTACACTTAAAATACAATAAGAGAGACTCTTTTTGCCTCGTAAACACCCACATCTTTTAAAGTCCTCATTCAAGTTTGAAATGCAGGATTTCTGCCATACAGAAAGCTACAAGACAAAGCAAAGGCGTGATGGACACAAAGTCAGGGTCGTGTTCTCAGACTTGGCAAAGATTAGAGTTTACACAACTGTTTTTAGAGGCTACAAAGCACTTAACACAGCTAATAAACTGACCTGGATATGTATCAGGTAAATTTGTATTATGTAAATTTAAAATTTAGCATGTGTGTGACTTTTTACCCAGGCCATCTAACCTCTTCTGGAAGCCAACAACTCCGACATACCCCTTGTGCCAAGGGAAGAGAAGCATGGCCTAAGCTTGGCAAAGGGCTGCTGTCCCTGATGCATCCATCTGAGTGAGTGTGTGTGTGATGGTTAAAAAGCGCTTTAAGGCACAGAAGAATAATGTGGCCTGAAGTAAAAATTGCTTTGAGCGCTCCGTTAGAGTAAATAAATACCATGGCAGAGCGTGTACAAACCATCGCTTGGATTATGTGTCACATTGATTAAAGCAGGAAAATCTACAAATGCCTCCTAGGAACAGCACGTTAGTGGGAGATAAAAATGGGCTTGGGAAACCGAGTCAAATATCCTAAAAACATTGCAGAGACCACTCTGGAACCTGGAAGGACTGGATGGGCCAGTGATAGGAAAAAGGGGGAAATACAAACTGGTGAAGAAGCAAGTGTTCAAATTGGGAGATTAATGTGAATTGCTTTGCAAAGCCTACAGCTTCTGGGTTATCACGTAAAAAGAAAAGCCATCAACAGAGTGTGAGCAGCAGTGAAGAAATCCTCAAATGACTTCAGATCACTACAGACAAGCCAGAACCAATATAGGACTAATATCTCATGGATACAGGCTCAGAGAACAGGATGTAAAACAAGGGTCCCCAATCCCAGTCCCAGTTTAGATGTGTCCTTGATCCATCACAGCTGATTTAAATGGATAAATTACCTTCTCAACGTGTCTTGAAGTTCTCCAGAGGCCTGGTAATGAACTAATCATGTGATTCAGGTGTGTTGACCAAGGGTGAGATCTAAAACCTGCAGGGACACCGGCCCTCGTGGACTGGGATTGGGGACCCCTGATGTAAAAGACCCAAAACAACCGATGACCCTGCTGAGTATGCAAGTGATGCTTTTCTCCATCATTTAGGATGGAAAGCTGAATATTTTTTTGGGTCATTGGTCTGTCAAAACAGGATGATGACATCATCTTTGCCTCAGGAGGGGAAAAAAATATTCAACTCAACTATGAACATTGCAGCAGTTCCATTAAGAGTTAGTCTAGGGCTGTCAAACCGATTTAACTCATGCACAACATTCAGCCCAATTTGATCCCAAGAGGGCTCGACCACTAAAATCATTACATAATAATAACCTAAAAGAAAAGTCATGAAAATTACACCGTCCATATTTACAAAACAGAGATTTACAAAGGGGAAAATATGTATGTATGTTTCAACAACATGTCTCCCTTTGTCTCAGTTTGCTGTCGTTACAAAGACACCAATTCATCATCAATTGAACAAACGCGTCAGCACGCCTCTTCAGCCAAGCTGATGTGGCAGGTCGTGGGTTTTCAGCAAGAGCTGCAAAGCTGACAATGATTCAGACCTCTGGCTCAGATGAAAAGAACAGTTTGGACAGCCACTCCCATGATCCCCAGCTTCCATAACGGCACTTCCAGCGGCCGAAATCCCACCATATTTATTTTAACGCTGGATCCCAGCGCTGCTCTGAGAACATGAGTCACGCAGCTCTTTTGCAGTGAATGAACCTTAATTGCACGTCTCTGTTTTTAAATAAATATGCCTGATTCAAGATATCAGCTATGCTGCCAACCCGCCTGATTATTTTTCATCTGTTCAGGCAAAATTTGAATAATGAAGCCAAAGCAGAATGGCAAAACAGCCTGATTACGTTTCTAAAGAGACAATCAGGGCCAAGCATCACAAATGGGTTTCTATAATTCGATTTGCAGAGGGCTCACCTGCGACTCTAGCTCGGTGAGCTGACCCTGCAGCTCAGAGATCTGAGCCTGCAGCTCCTCCTCCCGGCTCTGCCATCTCTGTTCGCTCTCGGCGACGGCGGCGTTCATCTCTATCCTGAACTCTGCTCTGAGACGATCCTCGCACTCCGCCCTGGAGGCATGCATCAGAACAAAGAGTGAGACACAGCTAACCTACATGCAAAATGACTTGTTAAAATGTCTTCTGGTTATATGCCATCTAACATTGCAAAGCAGTTCCTATTTATTTTTTGCAGCAAACATGCAGAGGAGCATCCAATTCCATAAAGCACATAAATATAAAATCTGAGTTTTATATTAATGCATTGCCATATTAAGATAATAAGATAACCTGTTATACTGTCAGCTGACAGGTCGGTTTTTAATGGGTGTGTTTGAATGAGGGGGAAAAAAAGGACATGTATTGAAGGGGGAACTGCGTGTAAACTGATAGTTTCGAGTGATCAAACACATTTTAAAATAAATGCAGAGGGCTGGTTTTTGTTTGCGCATATGCTCTAATTGCTGTCGGCACATAGTGAAAAACAGGCTAATAAAATACATCTGTCGGGGAGGGCAGACTAATTGGTGATATTGATTTAATTTTCATTAATGTGCCGACACCGTTTACCAGCTCACACAGAATTTTTTCTGCTGCTACATCTAATTCCTTGGCGTGCGTTAGCTCTGTTACAACACGGTCCAAGTCAATAAAGTTTATTCAAACTTGAAACGAGCTTCAATTCGATTGATTTCCTTCCTGACTCTGATGTTTCCCAAAGATCATTTAGGTGAGCGGGGGGGCTGATTACAAGCAGACTTTGTAATGGAAGCCTGAGCAGCTTTGGAAGGTCTGTGTTTGATCTGCTACCTGATCCGGTCCTCTGTGTGCTTCTGGTTTTGCTCTAGAAGACTCCTCTCCGTGTTCATCCGGCTCTGCTCCAGGACTTTTTCCTCCAGCCGATGCCTGTCAGCTTTCAGGGATGCGATCTCTCTCTGGTGCCTGTCCCGCTGCCTCTCGGCCTCGTCCTGAATGCGAGCCAGTCGACTCCGAGCCTGATGGAGCTCTTCCTCCAGACGGGAGCACTGCGGTCCACCCGAGGATGGAGCATCGGGGGTCGCCTTGTCTTTCTTGTCTTTATGGTGGATCAGTGACTCCAACCTACAGATCTGAGATCACAGGAACATATCTCTTTCTCTTCACATGTCACAGGAACTACAGCTGATGTTTTACTCTCAGTTAGCGTAACCTGACTTCTAACCTCACTGGTGGCATCTTTCAGTTTCGTCCTCAGCTCCTCTCTTTCCTTCTCCATCCTGCTGCGTAGCTCCTCAGCAGCTCTCCTCTCCTCTTCCAAACGCACGCACACCTTCATAAAAACATTCATCCTCATCAAAACTATTATTACATTAGCAAAGAATCTCCTTTTTAACACTCGACCCTACCCTTCTGTCATCTTCTTACAAGTGAGCCTAATTAATAATTAGTAATAATGAAGTGAACATGATAAGAGGGCTCAAAGGGCAGGCAATTATATGATAAAATCTTTAAATTTCTACATTTACTGGGAGCAAAAAACGTCTATTAAATTTCTCTTTTGGTTCAATCTGGGGGCGAGAACTCTCCCTAGGGGGGTCACAAGAGAATTAACTGGATCAAAGGAAAGCATTTTTGCTACACAAACATAATCGTTCACAGATTTTTTCCCACAATCCCTTTCTTTCAAATTACTCTGAAGATATTCAGGTTAAAAAAAGAGGAAACTTTTGTTCAACATCGTCAGTTGCTGACAAGCGACGCAAGCCCAAAATATTTAGAAGCTCTGTTTTAATTAGGCAGTACCCCCGCTGAGGCTCGACTGTGCAACTCAGGCGCTGCGTTTCTGTGAACTTCAGTAACCTGGTTACTGTCGACGCTCCTCGGTGGCCCGAGCCGCGCAAACTTTTTCTCAGGTTTGTGGATTAAATGGGTGAACTTTTGCCTCGACCCTCATGGCTTACGGTATGTGGTTGACTTCAGGCAGGGAGATTTTTACTGTGTTGGCAACGGTTTGTGCTCATATCAAAAATAATTACATCCAAAGAGTGACTGAAACTAAAAATAATGAAGGCTGTGTTTTTCGGATTCCACAGCAGGACGTTTTTAAATTTGAGATGCAAGCAGTGCACATTATAAAGAATCTGTGTCTGGTCCTAATACAGAGCCAGTCTCCTCTTACTTCTTAGCACCATCTCACTGGGTTCCAGTGCAAAATTACTAATGCTCATTTATGATATATAGCCTCAGTTTTTAAATATAGTAGCCAAACAGGTCAGGTCACTAAGTGGTATCAAAAATGCAGCTTCTTTCTCCAGTTTTCCTCTCTAACCTGATTTCTCCTGTTATGATCACTGATGATGTCTGTTAAAGTTAAATGCAGAGAACTCTTTGTGTGCCGACACATGCTGACCTCTTGGTTGGTTTTCTTCTCAGAGCTCAGAGCTTCTTGGACGCCGTTTAATTCAGCCGCGTGTCTCCTCATCACCTCCTCTATCGCCTTCCGCACCTGCTCCTTCAGTCGCTTCCTGTCCTCCTCGGCCTTCTCCGCCAGCCTCTTCTTCTCCTCCTCCAGCTTCAGCTGCACGCCGGCTCTCTCCGCCTCGACCTGTTCGATGTTCTTGTCGAGCTGGGAACGAATGCGGACCCTCTCCACTTCCAGCTCTTTGCGCAGGCGGTCCACCTCTTCCTCCTTCTCTCTCCTCACACGATCCTTGACCTCTTCCAGCTGTCTGTGGTGCGCTTCCTTTTCCTCGTCTCTTTCTCGCCGTATTCGGTTCCTTTCCTTCTCGAACTGATCCCTCTCCTGCTCCCGCTCCCTCCGCAGGCTCTCTCGTTCTTTTTCGATCTCCTTCTGCAGTTTGTCCCGCTCGTCGTCCGCGTGCTTCTGAATGCGACGCAGCTCTTCTGTCTGGGCTCTCACCATCTCTGAGCGCAAACTGGACAGTGCTTCAGCGTGCTATAAACACACAACACAGCACACTCATTCATGCTGTGCTTATATTTTTGTCCACATTGCAGTTTTACCATATGTGCATGTGTATGCGTGCTTACCTGGCGTATCTGCCTGGCGTGGTCGCTGTTGCGGCCGCTGCTCTGCAGCTCCAGCTCTCTGTTCCTACTCTGCAGACGACTCACCTGGCTCCTCAGCTCCTCCATTTCAGTGCACACACACACCTCACAGCCTCCTCGATTCAGCAGCTCCTCTAACACACAAAAGTGATTGATTGATCGTCTATAGCAGAAGCAGAATGGATCATCTGACCAGTTCTGACTGAGGAAGGGTTTGAATTAAAACCCATTACTGTGCAATAAATAAAACTCAGAGTTTTGTGCTGACGGGGTGAGATGCCAGTTTGATGAAACTGTTTGCCTTTGAGCAGGAATGAATAATTTGTTACATTTTCTCTACATATTATGGCAGCGTGAGTGGAAAACTTAATTAACGGCGGGTTTGAATGAGGAATGGGGACGTGCACCTGGCACAGCTTCAGTTTTTGCAAGCTCGCTTCGAGCAGGGCAGGTAAGATTGACAGGTGCGAGAGGCAGACTACCTGCTCTGCTCTGCAGCTCGTCTTCCTGCAGCAGCAGCCGCTCCTTGGCTACAGCGAGCTCCTCTTCAGCCCGCTTGGCCACGCCCTCGGCCTCAGACACACGCCTGCGATCCAGCTCCAGCTCTTCCTCCAAGTCCTGCAAGGGAGGGATAAAGGCCAGGAAGGAGTTTAGCATGAGGGCAATTAAGGTCAGGCGATGCGGAATAGTACTGCATGTTGACAAAAGGCCACGAGGGAATAGAAAAGGAAAAAGAAACAGACGAGAAAGAGAGAGAGAGAGGCTGACAGCAAATTTGACACAGATGAGGGAGGAGGGAGTGAACACAATCAGACAAACAGAAAAAAAAATGAGGGATGAAATGTGGTGAGTCAGGGTGCTGTCTTGCCCAGCTGCGAGCCTTTAATGGTCTGCTGTGAGGACTTACTGCATGTCAGCTCCATGCCAGCTCTCACAGGGCTTCTTAATGCTCATGCGTGAGGTGGTGCAGCGAATCTATCCTGCTCCTCATTAGCAGCTAGTTGGCAGTGGGAATAACACTCAGGGAAGGCAGCTTGTGGTTAGACAAGCAAGATGCCTCCCCCACCCCCACTCACCCTCCACCCCCCAGCTCTGCTTCTACTTCAGTCCCTTCTTTCCCATCAACACTATTAGCTGGGCGCATCAGAGACAGGAAGCTGCAACATTTCAATTTCCCTTCCCAGCGTTGGATTATGCACGCAGGGACGAGAGAAAAGGCGCGTACCTGTATTCGCTCTTGCAGCTTCACTGTGTTTCTCTTGCTCTCGGCTAGCCTCTCCAGGTGACTCTCCACCTCTGCCTCGGCCCTCTTCACCCTCTCCCGCAGAGCGCTGTGCATCCCTTTCTTCTCCTCCTCTTCCCTCTCCTCCCACCTCTGCCGCTCTTCCCTCCACTCCGCCTCTATCTTCTTCCTCATTTCCTCTCCCTCCTCGTTTAGATCGTTCACCTTTCGCTCCCATTGCTCCCTCTCCTCCTTCACGGCTCGCCTCTTCTCCTCCTCCGCTCGACCCCTCTCCTCCTTTAGTGCCTTTAGCTCCTCCAGGAGGGCTTTAATCCTTTCCTCACACTGCTCCATTTTCCTCTCCTCCTCCTCCTTCTTCTTTTCCTCCTCATCTTCTCTTTGCCTATCCTCCTCCTTCCTGTTTTTCTCCTCATCAACGACTGTTTTCTGGAGCTCCTCGCACTTGGCATCCAGTTGCTGGATCTGCTCCTCAGCATTCTCCAGTTCTTTGCTCAGTCTCAGGTTTTCCTCCTGGGCAACACTGATCTGGGCCTTGGCCTCCTGCAGGTTTTCCTGCGCACCCTGGAGCTTTTCCTCAAACTCTTTTCTTAGCTCTGCTTCCGTTTCACGCTCCCTCTCCTCCGCCTGGATGCGGAAGAACTCAAAGTCCGCCTGCACCTGGAGCCACAGAGGACGAGAGAATAACTCACACATATAAACCTTTGGTAGTGATAACTTTCCCTAAAAAGCACCTAATTTTTCTCCAACAACTCTCGGAAAAGCCTTTCACACTTTGTTCCATGCTACAATGACACTTATGCAATAACAAATGCATGCTTGTTCAAAGGTGTTTCACTGTGCTGAGATCTGGGAACTGTACAGACGGCTGGAGCGAACAGTGTGGACACAGACTATACAAACCATTTGTAAAAGGCCAGACTGGCCAATTAGTAGTAACGCTGTGACATTCACACAATACTCAGTATGTGGCAAAACATCATTACCAGCCTGCAATGTCGAGCTCAGGCAACTCAGAGCCGCAAAAAACTTCTTCAAAAGTCACAAAACCAGAAATCAGAAAGAAGCCTCAACATGCAGCAAGCTGCAAACATTATAAACCAAGGGGGGAGACACTGTGTGGGTTTCTTTGACATAGCTCCATATTAGTTATATTAGCTATACAGTTATATAACTATGACTTCTTTTTTTTTTTTTGCAAAATAAGCCTTATTTGAACCCAAAGATTTGCCGTTTTCTGGCATTTATGGAACCCTTATTCTTAATAGTTAGATCTGCAGTAATGTGTGTTGACACTGTTCGATACTGTGATAACAAATAAACAAATACTATATGCTTATTAGCTATCCATTCACTGCTAACATAGACTCCAGGCACCACTGCTTTTACTGAAAAAATGTTCACATGCTAGGAGTTTATAAGGAATAAAATTATTATTTTCCAGAGGTGAATTTCAGGAATTCTTCTGTAACATTGTAATATTTATGCAAAAACAAATATACACTGCAACACTGCTCACTCAGCAGCCTCTTTGTTAGCTGTACCTAAAGAGTGCTGTGAAAATATCCCAAACAACATTACACCATCAGCAGCCTGAACCGCTTATACACGGCAGAAGGGAGCCATGCTTTCATGTTTTCGATGCCAAATTCGGACACTATCGCCTCAATGTCACGGCAGAAATCGAGACTCATTAGATCAGGCAACATTTTTCTAATCTTCTGTTGTGCAGTTTTGGGGAGCTCATGCAAACCATAGCCTCAGTTTCCTGTTCTTATCTGACAGTAGTTGCACCTAATGTGGTCTTCTGTTGCTGTCGTCCTTTGTGTGTGTTCAGAGATGCTCTTCTGCATAGCACCTTCTTAACAAGTGGACATTTAAGAAGTTACTGTTGCCTTTCTATTAGCTTGCAGCAGTCCTGCCATTCATTTCTGACCACTGACATCATGAACAAGGCATTTTAACTTCACCTCACTGGATATTTTCTGTTTTTTGGCCCATTTTGTGTAAGGCTTAGAGGCGGTTGTGCGGAAGATCTCAGCAGCAGTAGTCTGATTTAAAAAGTGCCAAAACAAGATAATACTACGAAACTAAAGATGTTAGAGACAAATTTTACTAGCATAAGTGTTATGTTTGTGATTATATAGATGTTATGTCATTTATGCTCATAGGTACCTGTGCGAGATATCATGCAGTGTTTTGACACACTCACATTCTCATAGTTTTTGCACCAGTGGCGCTACGACACTCGTCTGCTCTAAAGGCGATAAGGCTTTCTTTTACTGGCGCATTAATCCTGTTCCAGGTTGTTTGATGTGTGCCACTTATCGTTGTCTGTAGCCTGTTTCACTTAAAAACACATCCCTGTGGTTCATACGTTGAAAGCCTGTCTACGTGAGTCTGGTAGGTTTGTACAGGTGTTTTCTTGTATCAGACCCGCGCTGATCTACATGCTTTGAGTCGAGAAAATGACAGTAGGACATGAAAAAACATGACAGATGCCAGACATGCCAGACAGATAACAAGGAAAAACATTTCAAAATAAAAGTTTTAGGTCCCTGTGTGCATTTTTTATGTATTTAGTTGTTAAGACGCTTTTTTGTTTCCCCCCGCGGACTCGATAGGAAAGCCATGTGGGTGTTTACAATTCATGTTGATGTTTTATTGTGGTGCACAGCATATAAATTATGAAGACTGGGTAAAGTAACGGGCTTTCTGAGCGAGGCTGGCTGCCGTAGGTCATGTTAGGGCCAGGTTTGATTTGCTGCCCTCACTGGGAGGTTAGACATTAAATTACAGAGACACAACAAGGACCCCGACCCCCAACCCCATAAACAAGGACTCACACATGCACACACCTGGGCCCCGACTCGCTGCTGCTCATCCAGAGATTCCTGCAGCTCCAGGAGGCGTGTCCTCAGGGCTGACCCCTCCCCTTCGTGGCACGTCTCCATCAGGATCCGGTGCAGCTCGTCGTGGTGGGCGTTGCTCAACGCCTGCAGGGCCGCCTCCTGCTCCTCATTCTTCATGTTCAGAGAATAAATCACCTGGAGCATCAGCAACAAGAGGGCAAAGATTCAAGAGCTGTGCACATTTAAGCCTTCAAGACACAAACACTAAAAATTAGAAAGATATTAATCTATGTTTGCTTGTTTGTGTCTTCTTGCCTCCCTGCATTATTTTTCCACTTGAGTGTTGTGTATATAAGGTGGAGGAAGAAGGGCATCTTCTAAAAAGTGATGTGAAAAACATTTTTTTTTAAATGTTCAACTGTTTTGTTTTGTTTCACTGTATTTTTTCCTCTATTAAATGTGCGAGCCATTGTTAAATAAGCATTTTGACTACAGATTATAAAAAAACATTCACTAAAGCTCGTGTCCATTAAAAGCAGCAGCTTATCCTCTCTTTAAGGGATACATGACACTTTATCTTTGCAGATAAATGCGAACTAATCACCACTCATGGACGTTTTTAATGTTAATGCATTGCTTATGCTCATCACAGTGTGTTGAGTTCATGCTTCAAACTGCATGCCTTTGACTCCCTCAGTCTTGGAAAGTTAATACCAGACTTCTTTGTGATTATTTTGAGGTGTCTTTTTTTCACTTGCTGAATGGTGCTTGAAAAGTCCACATTTGTATCCACTCTACAGATACGTGATATTAGATCACTTACCTCCATAAATAAACCACCAAGTCTAATATTTTTTGACTTGCTTGGTTAACTCCCCTTTTTTTAATCCACCAAAATCTGATGACTTCAGAATCCATCAAGCAACGCAGCAGAGATCCCAAAGGTCAAGAGACTGAAAAAAATGCCCTTTTGTGTAGCACTTTTATTAGTTTTGCAACCAAATGCAGAATATTTGAAACCTGAATGGTGAGTCATTGTTGAGAGATATGGAGCAAATAATGAATTTCCACAATTTGATATGAAAAGATTAAAAATGACCTTGGCCACCTTGTTAAAAAATATGCACGTATTGAGAGTAAAACTTCAATATTTTATGAGGGTTTTCAGTCTCATATGAGCAAACCTGGTTATATCCTTATGGCAGCTTTATGCTAACAAATATTACAGCAATACAGTGTTTTATCACGTATATCCTGTTACAGTGATAGAGTCACATATTAAACAGGGGCTGTAATGAGGGCAGGATGTGTATAAACAATCACCTGTGAGCTAAAAGCTAATGTTTCAGTCTGCTTTCAGAAACTATTTCTTCTCCTGGATCTCATCAATATGATGCGGCACCATTGTGATGCCTCACAGCTGGGTTTGAATCCTCTGACCGGCTAGGACCTTTCTGTGTGGAGTGTCGCATGTTCTCTTTCTCCCAGACTCCAAAGGCATGCATGTTAATTTCTAATATAGTGCCATGGCTGTAGCCTGCCTCTCATTCTATGACAGCTATAAGAAATATAAGAATATAAGAAAATTGATGGATGGAAAGTTTTAATAATGTCAGAGGGAGAATATATCCTGATCATCTTGGGCACACAAGGTTGCACAAACCCTCTGTTTGTGAAAGACAGCCAATCAAAAGAGAGTTGGATTAAAGACAGAGGAGTTCAAACTGGCTGCACCAAGAACCAGCTAAAAAAAATAACAATTTTGTACTGTGAATTATGCAAATGTACCATAGCGGAGACCAAAACTAAAACTATAGAAAAGATGGGAAGGGGAGACAGATCTCCAGCCGTTGCTAACACAAAGACCCAGACAGCCATTTACACCTAGATTTGCTAATTAGCCTAAACATGGATGTCTTTGGACTTTTGGTGGAAGCTGGAGCGCTCAGAGAGAACATGCCAACTCCTCACAGAAAGCCCAGAGGATTCAACCCCAGGACCTCCTCGCTGTAAGGCAACAGTGCTCTCCACCAGTCGAAATAATATTCGACTTTAAATAGTAACACTGACAAACTGTGTGTCTGAGCCACGGACAGTCAGGCTTTATGCAGCGATGCCTGTCAGCATGTATGGAGCCTCCCTTCAACCTCTCCATATAGAGCGCTACTAACCTATGAAATACGGCCTGTTTCTCCCCACTATTCACTTTACCCCCTGCGCCATGTCATCATCTCCTCCTGGTGACCCTGACGTCTCACTTATCCACTTGCAGAGGTGTGTGCGTGTGTGTTTGTGTGGACTCACACGCATGCGCGTACTGTATCCGGGAGACACATGGGCTCATATTTTACTCAGACGCCTCTCTGTCTGCAGCTGGTACAGGCCTGCCGGACATTCCCTGTGTCCCTGTCTCTGCCCAATGTGTGTGTGTGTGTGTGTGTGTGTGTGTGTGTGTGTGTGTGTGTGTGTGTGTGTGTGTGTGTGCGTGCGTGCGTGCATGTCATTAATCCTCTCTCACACACATTTACATTACCTCGACACTGTCAGTCTCCAGTAATCTGTTATGTATTTATTGTAAAGCAGGTTTTGGTATTGGTGTCAAATGTGAGATTTCTCTATCTCCTGTCCATCAGACGCTGGTGGAGTATGTCACACCGATGTGCAAACTTTAGCAAACAGTGACTCATGACAGGGAGGAATGAAGAGGACTCTGAAACGGGGACAGGCTCTAAGGGGGAGGACGTTCTTTGCTGTCCTCTTTGGCTGGTTTGAAAGTGAGAGCATAGAGAAAAAAAGAGATTTAATGAAGGTTATTAGATAATACCTATTAATAATGCAGACCAGTGGTTCCCATCCTTGGGTTTGGACCCCTGAGGGGTTACAAAGTACACCTGCAGACACCTGAACTTTACACCCAACTCTGTTCGTTAACATGCTGTCGAAACAGCCTGCACTCTTCTGGGAAAAGTTTCCAAATCAGAATCAGAATTTCCACAACATTTTGGGGTCTGACTGCCGGGATTTGCTCCCATTGAGCTAAAACAGCACACGTGAGGTCATCTACAAATGGTACATGATACAGCCTAGCCTGCAGTCTGCATGGCAATTTATCCCAGAGGTGCTGGACGGTGTCGAGGTCGAGGCTCTGGAATTTTTCAGCACCAAGCTCATAAGCTAAAAGATGTGAAGACTGATGTCTTGGAAACAGGATCTAAAATGGTTACCACACATTCAGATAGATTTAAGAGGGACCTATTAGTAACTTTGCATATTTGCCATATCGAGTACATCTGAAGTATTGACCTACGAGAGTCACCTTTTCATTCCTCTGAAAATTTATCACTTGACCTAATCTAAGAAGGAAAAGTGATCAGCCCAAGCTCACTCAGCGATGTATTAAGCAGCTATCGCTGCTTTATCTTTAGAGTTACAGGACAGGTAGGAAACCGCTGATCTAAATCTGTATGACATGTTTTATCTTTATCATAGAAGCAGTGACATCTATGCACTTGAAAAATCCACTCTTGTTCTATTTCATGCACTCGGGTGGGGGTTGGAGGAGGCTTGCTGCTACTCTAGAAGTTTGCTGCCTTACCTATTTAAAGTATAGGTAGGATATTTATATGTCACTAGCATGAATGAGTCACTTAAGCGGCTCCGTTTGTCTGCTACCGCTGCGCTTACCATTATCTGTTCATTTTTATTCACGCAGACAGTGGCTGCTGTTTAGCGTCAGCTCACTTTAAGGTCAGATTTAAGGAAACCCGCTTTCACACAGTTAAGTAAAACTACTACATGCCATCACGAACAGTATTTATCGGATTTATTTTAGGAGGTGGGATTAAAGACAGCTTCACACTTTGATTCAGCTCTCTGGGTTTAAATCTTTGGCAGTTTGGCCAGAGAGCGGCGAGAGCCCGCCACTGCAAATTCTGCCTCGAGATCCCCTTATCGATCCTGCCGGTCGATAATGTTATTCATGTGGCCTCACAAGCCAGTGCCCGTGCTCATTGACAGTAACTTCATAGTCAGCAAAGCATGAAATTAATATTCTGTCTACAGTGTAAAGGAGAGCAAGAGACAAGGCAGCTGAAACTGGAGTGAGACGTAGACTTGACTCGCTCGGTGCACAGAGGAGAGGTTAGGCAAAGAGACAAAGCAAGCGTGCACACAAACACACACTCTCTTACATCAGCCGCCCTCTCCCACTCTCACACATACCTCCACACATATCAAAGAGGGTACTGGGTGTGCTGGATTACAAAGCAGGGAACACAGCGCCTAGTGTACACTCGATAGGGTAAGTGCAGGAAATCCAAAGACAGAATTAGAGCCACCAGTCTGACGTGTAGGTGTGCACATAAGCACACACTTTAATATGCTACTGTTGATCTCTGTGAGTCATGCAGAGACACTACTCCTCTCTCTGTAGTCGCGTTTGCGTGTGTGTGTGTGTGTGTGTGTGTGTGTGTGTGTGTGTGTGTGTGTGTGTGTGTGTGTGTGTGCATGCAACCTTATGTGAACATTCACAACAGCTGGCCTGACACGGTCAGCTCTCAATTCCTTCCCATTGGCTTCTTTTGCCATGTAAACACACTCCGACGTGCTGCTGTTTTATCTTTAGCAGCACCCATTCAGCCAGGGCAGACTGCTCTCACTGATGGGGGGAGAGGTGTGTGTGTGGGGGGGGAATCGTGCAAGTCGGGATGGGTGAGTGGAAGAGAGAGGCAGACGTGAGGAGGTGTGTTAAGTAGAAGCCCATATGTGCGGGTGTGTTTGTGCGTGTGTGCCTCCATGCACACAGAATATGGGTTATTAAATATATAAGGTTACCACAGCTGACCCATTTCCTACCTCCTCTCCTCTGCTCTCCACCCCCCAAACAACTCAAATAAACCATGTGCCACATGCCCAGCATCCCAAAGCTCAGGGGAAACCAAACACACCAAATATGTGTATCGATGATTCTTATATTTCAGCCGCGCTCCGGGTTTCATTTACTGTGGTCGCCCCAGAGCTAAAGCGGGGCTGGCATGGCATGCCATGAAGTTTCAGAGGAGACAAAAACAAGTCCTGGCTTCTGTGGAGGGAGATCAGGGTGGAAAGGAACAGAGGGGCCACAAGAGGCTGAAGGACGGGGCTGGCGAATTCTCCTAACAAGCACAGACACAAGTGCTGACCCCTCATCTGTGTCATCTTTGTTTGCCTGGGCCTGTGTGCATGATAGGAAGTCCTTTTTTTTAAGACACAGAGGTGCATCCACAAGGGAAGATGAGAAGTGCACAGTCATCAGTAACTGTCATAGCTCAACAAGCCATGGGTCATGCCCTGCTTCTGTGAGCATTATTGTGAAGATACAGAGAGGGTGAATCCTCACATGCAGCTGCTGCAGCTGTTAAACTCCCTGATAAACACAGAGAAATGCCATGTTGGTGTACCAAGCTGTTAATTAACTGTGGGGATTCATCTGTTTCACACCACAGTTAATTGATAGCACACCTTTGGAGTCGTTTTTCTCTCTGTTGGTCAGACAAAGAAGCATCACCCTGGGCTCTGGCCCAGCGAGCTGTGGAATTGTTTTAATATCCTAAACGCCCAGATTATACATTGATGCACGGTGAAGGTAATCCATAAATCTACTGATTGATTAAAATTGCATCAGCTCTAATTGCTGCCTGATGTCTGGTGCTCGGGATCTGCAGCTGTCAGTCACGAAGCTGATCCAAGTTTTCCCGTCGTTATCCCGAGAATGTAAAACGTGTAGACCTATGTACCGACTTTATAGCTTCTATTACCAGCCTGCTCCTTTTTAATTACTATTTATTTATTTATTTTAAACTACGGATTTCATGTGTATTTTCATTTATTTTGACGCTCCGTCCGTGTCTGAGTGTGAGGCAGCCAGCGGATCATCAGTCAGCCTGACAGGAGTGACATCCGGGCGGCGCGCCTCCCTCCCTCTCTCGGTGTCACCGGCGGGTCTTACCTTGGTGAGCTGAGCGATCTTCTTGCACATCTTGCTGTGCATTTGATAGTCGTACAGCTCCTGCTCGATGTTGGAGAACTCTGCCGCAGTCCCGTTAACGGCGGAGCCCGGCCCGGGGGGCTGTGCAGCCTTACCGGCGCCTGAAGCCATAACGAAGCCCCCCAGGGGAACTTCCCAGCCCGGAGGATAGTCAGAAATGATCCCGCCGCCTCGCAGATGAAAATCCCCACCAGAAATCGTGTCAACTTTTTTACTTGCGCATCTCATTCCCCCGTCGGCACACCCTCTCCCGCGAACGGCATCTCGAGTAATCCGCTGCAAAACATTTGGGAGTAAATCGCCGGGGCTCTCCTCGTGCGTTCCCGTTGTTGCCCCCCTCTCCTGCTGCCCGCCCGGTGATCGCCGAGGTCACACGCTGGAAGTCCATCGGGGACGCGCTCGCGCCGACCGACCCTTTTCCTGTTGTCAACGGATTTTTTCCCCTCCTTCTTAGTCTACAGGGAGCGCTGGAGGATGAAGGCGTACAGTCCGACCACCTGTCTCGCGGCAGGGGCGGAGCGGGGCGTGCGTATCCTATGGAACATTACCGGAGACAGCTCGAGAGGCGCACTGCTGCAGTGCTGCCCCGCCCCTACCGGAGCTGCTGTATCAAAGACGATCAGCGCGCGGATGGGAGGTGGAGGAGGAGGAGGGGGTCTCTGGGGTCCAGTCGTGTGATTTTACTCCATCAGTCAGATAAAAGGGAAGCACTGAGGGCAGTGTCAGTTGCTGTGGACTACGAGCACACGATAAACCACATGCATTGACTGTGGACTGATTTCATTGAAAAAAAAGAACAACTACTAGCACTCACTATAAAGGGTGGATTAGCACAGATGAAGGAACTTCCCACACAGTCATTTGTTTCTTAAACACACTACTTTCCAAGTACACATGCACACCTCGTTGTCTCAAAGAAAACCCTTGCAAGCAAATGAGAGCGCAGTGACTCACTATACGAGTGGACTCCATTTACTAAATATTCATTTCTCCACCTTAAAGGTGTAGCCTGCTCCAGAAATGTGTTGCTGCGGTTTTTCATAGCGTTTGGTGGACTGACAGAGACAGGTTAAAAAAAAAATGCAGCAGAGTGTCAGGATGTAATGAGAGGATCCAAATGCAGGGACATTAACATGATTTTTTTTTTCAAGGGTTATAACCGACCAGAGGGAGCTCATGGGAAATCAGAATATGCTTTCAGAACTAAAAATCACTTGAAACTGGTTGAAAATCTAGTGAATTGTAATGATTTTAATGTGCACAAAGGTAACTACTGACAAAAATACAGTGGACTCTTCTTTTTTTAAAGAAATTAAGGAAAGGTACGTGAGAGGATGTCCATCGTTCAAAACCAGGCTTTTAAACCAATAGATTTTACTGCATGTAATATTATTTAACATTATGCAGATATACATTTTCAGTGATGTGTTGACGGGGAGAAAACAGTTTTTCCGGTTGTAATTTATCTGCAATTTTTGTCTGTTATTGCATGGATATAATAGCACAATATGTTTGGAGGTGGGGATCAAATTTCAATGTGGTGGGTGCCTCACCCCTTCCCAAAGTGGGCAGGGCTATATATACACACAGAAGACAGAATGAATGACAAAACACAAGGGTCCAAGGTGGAAAGGACGTGGAGAGGGCAGGCAGTCACAACGTAGGATAAATGTGATAATCTGAAGTGTCTAGTTTTTGTAATTGTGTTTAAGGATAGATCATTTTTGGTCCTTGCATCCTTTTTATAAATGCAATGAATTTACAGATAAAGTTGAGCCTGTGAGGCACGTTATCTGTTAAAGTGCTTGAGTTAATTATTGAACACGGTCTTTTAAGTTCAAATCTTCAATTTCTAATGCAAGATTTTCTTGGCCTTTAAGCTGATGCTGAAGTAAACCCTGATATGATAGGATCAACTCAAATGTGTGTGGTTATTCTGGAGAAGGGTGAGATATGATACTGGAGATAATATGGCACTTTTTCAGATCGGCAGAAAACCTTTGGCTTTAGCTGTCTGCATAAAAAGTGTCACAAATAAGCAACAATAAAAATGAGAAAAATATACAATTCAATTAAACTATCCCTTCACAAAAAAAGCAGTTTTCTCAAGGCGTTTTATATTGTGAGGTAAAGACTACAATATTAGACAAACTTAACAAGCAGATGGTCCTCCTATGAGCACACCCTCGACAATGATGAGAAGAACATCTCCTTAATTAGAGGAGACCTCCAGCAAAACCAAGTTCAGGAAGAGGCAGAAATTGACCATTGCTAGTTTGTGGGTGAGCATGGAAAATCTCATTTTTGTTCCCTATTTCCACAGTGCCAGTGAATTATGGCACAAAGTGTACATGATATCAGAAATATACAAAACCAACTTAACCATTATAACATCCTCCTTGTTTAAGCTGCTTGCATCAACCCTTTCACATCCGAGTGTTATTCAAGCACAGACATATACAAACATTTATGACAGAGCAGTTTGGCAGGATAATACCTGCTTTGGCCAGACCTTCTGTGCCACTTACGTTTTTCTGATAATTTTGTTGGACACAGTTGACTCGCACCGTCTTGGGCCTAAATCTCTCAGTTTCTGAAACATTCCTCTTAAACATTTTTCTAAATGTTCCCCAGGAGAGTGTGTGTGTTGCTGTGCCACCTTTATAAATCCAGTTTTGATCTAATGACAGCCCAGTTTATTTGAAACAAACTGATTATTGGGCCACATTCTTTGGTGGTTCACATTATGTAACAAACAGGAGAAACTAGGAGCAGCTAACCAAGCCTTTAAATATGTAGACCTAAATGATAAGTCATTGTGTTTATTACCTTACAGTTAATTCAGAGTTTGAATCTCAAACAATTTCTTGTCACCTTTGCAGGATTTACAGACATACACAGGGGTATTTTTCATCCCTCTGGCTTCTGATGCTGTAGCTATGTGGTCTAATGCAGGGATAGTTTGTCCCCGTATTGTATAAATATTTAATAAGATAATACACCTTCATGATAATCCCCGGCCTACATGCACACAGGTCTAAAGCAAACATTCTGACAGAGTGCCATCTATATTAAATTAATTTCCAAAAATAGATGCCATAAAATAAGGAGCCCTCTCTGCCTGTGCAGAAGCATGTTTCTGCCCTCCTTATGGGTGAGCTGTCCCCTCCACAGCTGTCCAGCAGCTGTGGCCCTGGACACTGGCTGCATGATAATGACAAATATATTACACATATGGGTTAAATTATAAACATCAGTACAACAGAAATTCATCCACATGATTACCTAATGTATTTATATAGTTTTAAGGAGAATAAGTTTTCAGTTGTTATAAAGTAAAAGAGATGCTTTCATAAAAATGGTTAGTCACCTCAGTTAGTTCCTTGCAGGAAACCAAGCTAAATAAAGTTTAAAAAAAGGTAAGGGTTAGCAAAACAAACAAACACAAGAACTCAACTAATAATTATTAGTCTAATGCCATTTTGAAGTATAAACATAATGCAGAGGAAATCAAAAAATACCCTTAAATTACATTTTTGCATATCTACAAAATCTGTTAAATATTTCAAAACCGTGAAAAAAACCATCAGTGTTTTCTCAGTGGGTTTGATCTATAGAATAAAACCTCCAAATATCTTAATCACACTATCTTTTAATATTTCCCCAGTAAAACATTAATATGACATCCAGCATCATTCAGTAGCCATCTTATTTGACAATGGGTTGATTGAATTCAACAAACTGATAATGATATTTGACTAATATATTAGGCATATATACATTCTGGCATCCATAAGTCAAACTTTTGGGCTAGTATTTCAAAATTTAAATTTATTTACTCAGAATTTTGAGTTAGAAAGCCGGATTGCATTTTAAATTTTTTTTAAATTAATTATTATTATTTTTAGTGGCAGAAACAAGCTCTTTTTAATTAAAACATTTGAGAAGCTTTTATTATGTTGTTTTCTCATTAAAACAATTATTGTAATATGGCAGCGACAAGAGGTCAAATATCCATTGTTCGATTATCAGATTAAATAAATAAATAAAAATAAATAAATAAAATTTTTTGTCTGCTATATCCTCCAGAGAATCGCTTACCCGCTTGGCATACACAGGGATAAACCATACACGTGACGCACGTACGTACGCAAACATCTCAGTTCTCGCGAGAGTAAAATTCAAAAACAGGCGGTTGTTCGTTGAGAAGAAAACTAACCAAGAGGTACGTTTTAAAGCTCACGCGTTAAGCTTTTGGCTTTAATACTACTTTTCATGTCTGATAATTATAAAACGCCTCTCTAGGGACTTCGTCGTGCGTGACTTAATTACGTTGCGTTGTGTTTTTTTTCTCGGCTCGTTTCACTGGTAATTCTCTCGAGGTGGGTTTAGGAAGCTAATGAGACACCAGAGACCATCAGGCGGCTTCCTTTACTGCTAGCTAATAGAGACATTTCTGACAGAGTTTACTCTAGGTAAGCCTGCTTCGGCTCATTGTATCGCTGTCTGTATTAGTTTAGGTTTCTGCGAAGGAAAGATGACGGCGGACAACGAAATAGACATCAAGGAGGCGTTTCAGCGAGCTCAGAAGGGCCACAATAACAAGGCAAAGCTGGTGGCGAGCCTCAAGAGCCGCTATAACAAGGTACGAGATGATGCTTTCTTATCAGTCTCTTCCTAAATGTCTTTCACATTATCCTGGATTAATGAGTGCATCGTTTAATATGATAAAATAACTCGGTTTATACGAGAATGTATAAATGCGCTTTCTTCTTCGAAGAAATACAGTAAAGTGAAATTAAAGCTTGTACACAGGTTTTCATTCTCCGTCACATCTATCGGTACTCTCTGTATATCCTCTTTTACTACGTGCTTGAATCTTCTCTGTGGTCTTCCTCTTTTTCTCCTGTCTGGCAGCTCCATCTTTCTTCTTTCTTGCTTAAGTTTCTGGAAGTTTGAAGTGCTTGTAAGGTGTTTGTATTAAACTGTTTGACAGAAAGCATACTAATCTCAGATTAACTGAGATGTCTGGATTGTTAAATAAGTCTTTCAGATGACCTGGGTTCTTATTATTGATCTCATAAGCATGGACCCTTCTTTCCTCTGTCTCTTCCTTCAGCTTGAGGATAAATCACTGTTCCATGAGGAGTTTGCGCACTACCTGAAGTATGCAATGATTGTCTACAAGCGTGAACCTGCAGTTGAAAACGTCATCGAGTTCGTTGCAAGGTTTGCTTCAAGTTTCCAGTCTCCACCTAAAACAAACGAGGAGGGGGAGCAGCAACAAGAGGAGGAAGAAGAAGAAGATGATGATGCTGAGGACGATCATCCATTTCTGAGTTTCATCTTCAACTTTCTGTTGGAGGTATGAACATTATAATGCTAGTTTATGCCTGTGAGCACTGTTTTCTGGTGTTGTTAATGAACTGACCAGCAAATTCTTGACCTATTGATGATGATTTGTTAAAAATGTATCATTTTTTTTCTTTTTTAAACAAATCTGTTAACCACAAAAATTAAAACTTGTTCATTTCTGATTTTGCTCTGACTTTTTGAACACAAAGGCTTTGATGTGATTCTTGTCTATACTGCCTCTCAATTTTATTTTGTGGTTTCCCATATGACTTCTTTCTATTCCTTATGTATTCACATCTGTTTTTCCTCATACA